TATGATTGCAAAACTGGTGTTTTCTGCACCATGTATAGCCAGGAGAATGAGAAGTTGTGCTCTATTTGTGTACAGTGTATCAAAATGCATTCTGCTGTCATGTATAACTAATTAGCACAAATTTTAAAAAATAACATTTTGAAACTTCAATATAGACAGCTAATTAGTGGTATTTCCAAAGTATGATATAATACAAAAATGTATTTGATCTTTGTTCCTGATTCCCAACAGAGCTTCTATAACTCTTAGAATTTTCTGAGTAATGACAGTCTTTTTTTTTTAGTTGTAGATGGACGCAGTATCTTTATTTTTATGTGGTGCTGAGTATTGAACCGGGTGCTTCACACATGAGAAGCAAGAGCATCGTCATTGAGCTACAAACCCCAGCCAGTGTCTTTTTTTAAATTCATGTTGAACCCTTTTTGAGTCACACATGAGAGTATACTAATGACTTAGTGTAGGGCCCTAAATAGCTTCAGGACAGACATAGTCACCAGAAAACTGAGTGGCTAGAAGGTTGTAACTTTTAGCCCTCTAGGAAGATGGAGAGGTCTAAAGAGTAAGCTCTTTAAAATGCAAGAGATTTGGAAAGTTTCTGGGTTGGTCAGCATTCAAGGTGTTGGAAATGTGGCATGCCAGGTGTAGCATGAGAGCTCCTTGTACCCCGCCACCTACCCTTTGTTTTACCTTATATTGTCTCTTTCATCTGGCAGTTCCTGAGTTATATCCTTATATAATAGGCAAGTAAACATAAGTATATTGCCTTCCTGAGTTCAGCAAAGTTAAGAACCTGCAAAGGGAATTTGTGGGAACCTTCACCATATTTATAATCAAGTTGGACAGAAATATAGTTAACCTTGGGCCCCAGTATTTGTGACTGGCATCTGAAATGAGGGAAAGTTTCTAGAAGTGAGACCTTAAACCTGTAAAAACTTACACCAACTCTAAATAGTCAGTGTTAAAGTTGAATTGTAGAATACCCAGCTGGTGTATAGAGAATTGGAGAAGTGGTTGTTGATATTGGTAAACACCTTCAAAAGTTAGCACTAGGAGGCTGGGGTTGTAGCTTAGTGGTAGAGTGCTTGCCTCGCATGCATGAGGCCCTGGGTTCAATCCTCAGAACAACATAAAAATAAGTGAATAAAAGTAAAGATATTGTGTCCATCCACAACTAAAAAAAAAAAAGTTAGCAATAAAATGAGTCGTGTGAGGTACACCAACAGTGAGACCATCATATTGATTTGATATCCTTTCAAAATTTTTCCATTTTAAGGAGAAATTGGGGCTGGTTCTGTAGCTCAGTGGTAGAGTGCTTACCTAGCATATATGAAGCCCTGGGTTCAATATCTAGCACTACAAGGAGAAAAGGAGTATTAATGACATTAAGAATCTTTCATGCTTTTCACCAAAAAAGGGGGGAAAAAAGTCTTTTAGAAAGTGGTAAGCGTGTTAAACTATGGAATAGAAATTTATAATGATTCTGGTGGGAGTAGTTAATATTTCATATGACTATTCTTGCTAATCTAAGTACATACATGTGACTATGAAGTTTTGTAACTTTCTAATAAAAGTAGTGTGAGCAACCTCCTGAAGCTATGATACACTGTCTTAACTGTACATGTACACTTCTGCAAATTGTTTGTATGAATAAATGGCCATTTCCTCCCTTGCTCTGTTGGCTGCTAATGTGGGGACTAGTAGAATAGGTTTATGAAAGAAAATAGAGAGTTGTTGGGTTTTGGGGTTTTTTGTTTTGTTTTGTTTTGTTTTTGTGGAGCTAAATTCTTTTGTAGAACCACAGTTCAGTAAGGGTGCTAGAGAAATGGTTAGTCAGAGGCATGAGAACAATAATTAACCAAGAAAAGAAAGGCTGGTTTAAGGAAACTGATAACAAAAGAACCTTTTATTATTATTATTATTATTATTATTATTATTATTAGTGACCTTCATTTTTCCTAAAACTGTTCCCATATAGTAGCCATTAGCAATTGTTTTAATTAATTAAAATTAAATTTAAAAATAAATTTCTAGGAGACTAGGGGTGTAGCTCAGGTAGAATACTTGGCTAACATGCTGGAGGCCCTGAGTCAATCTCCACCTATGCAAAAATGAAGTATTCAGTGGTCATCTGGCTAAAGAAAGTATTTTTATCATCAGAAAGTTCTGATGGACAGGAGAAGTTCTCAAACTTGTTTACCTAACTGCATATAGGGCTATTTTATATTAGTTTTATATCATGGGATGTTTTCTTAACGATTATAACTAGAAGAATTACTCAAAGATGTATATATCTTTGTGTCTATCACTATTAAAAAATTTTAAGTGGTATTAGTAATATGTATCAGTAATTTCCATCTTATGAACTTTTTCAAACATTGGCTAGTATCCCTACTTTGAGGCTCTAATTCAAAATCAATGTCAAATCAATTTAAACCATCTGTCTTAAAAGTTGATAGAACAGAAAGTAGATGGGTTTAGGTGAGGACATAATATCATTAAAATTGATTTAGAAAACCTGGTGTGGTGGTGCACGCCTGTAGTTCCATCAGCTCAGGAGGCTGAGATACGAAGATAGCAAGTTCAAAGCCAGACTGAGCAAAATTGATTTAGGAAAAAAATTTACTTTCACTTTCCCTATTAAATGGTCTCTAAATTTATATCAGGTTCTCAAATAACTATTGGGTCATTATAAAATATATAAAAAGTTTTAATAAAATATATAAAGTTTTAATAAAATATATAAAATATATAAAAAGTTCAAATGGTAGTGCACTCGCCTGGCATGTGCGGGCGCTGGGTTCGATCCTCAGCACATATCTATCTCTCTCTTTCTCTCTCTCTCTCTCTCTCTCTCTCTCTCTCTCTCTCTCTCTCAAAAAGTTTTGGAATAGTGTGTTTTAAAAATAATTATATATGAAGGTCATTAGTTTTTATTTATTTATTTTGTACTGTAGATTGAACTCAGGGCTTTTGCGCATGCTAGACAAACTCACTTTCACCCGGCTACACCCCCAACTCTTTTTATTTTGAGACAGGGTCTTGCTAAGTTGCCCAGGCTGGCCTTAAACTTGGGATCCTTCTGCCTCAGCTTCCTGAGTAACTGGGATTACAAGCCTTACCACCTTGCCCAGCAAGATAATTCTTTTTTTTTTGATACAAACACCTGAAGATTACTGAAGGTGGAAAGCTGTAACAAACATACCAGCTTTTTCTTTTTCCTCTTAAATTTCTGGGTACTTCTAACCATTGTATCTTCACACTCTATAGCTTATATTTGGCTAATAATTAAAATATCTAAGAACTACAGTCACCTTTTTAATAATCTGTTAAACAACTATTGTGAAACATGCTGAGACATCTCCTTAAAAATGAAAAATAGGCTTTAAAGGTTTTGTTTTATTTTGTTTTTGCTATATTGGGAATCAATCCCAGGTCCTCACATATCCTAGGTGAGTGCTGTATCACTGAGAGCTACATCCCAACCCCCAAAATAGGTTTTTTGATAATTTCCTGCAACCCAGAGCTAAAGTAACTTATCTTTGTAGTTAACTGGCCAAGAAAATCACCTCATGTGATTGAGTGCCTGGCACTGTACATTTCTAGCTATATGGAGCTTTAGTTCCAGGGGTAATAGAAAATCTGACATGTCTAGGCTAGATATGAATATTATAAATTGAAGTATTACTTGATATACAGATTTTTTTTAGGCTCTCTGGAAGGTATAAAGAGAACACACATCCTAGTAAGGCTTTTATATACTTGTAAAAGAAGTAGAAAATTAAGGTCAATACAAACAGTACTTTCTGGTTTGAGAAATGGACTCTTATGGGGTGTTCATTGAAGGCAGTGATGAAACAGACTTTAAGGGTGGAAGTTAGGTTAGAAAACCTGTGGTCTGGGTAAAGAACTTCTGGCTGAAGAAAATACGGAAAGCATTACAGGACAAAGAACAGCAAAGAGGAATGTGTGAAAATGCAAGGTCTTTCTAGAAGATATCTTCTAGTATCATAATGGACTAACCTGAAGAATTATAAAAGGATAAAAGGAGCTGATTTAGATAGCTGAATGGGGACAGACTTTAAGACCTCCAATGTGTGTTGAAAGGTTTAAATTTAATTGAGCTCATTTGTAGGTATAATGAGGATTTTTTAAAGTTTTAAGAATCAAAATGTGAAATATGATATATCAAGAAATATGTAATGGAGGGGTAAGACAAGATAATACAAATGGAAGAAATGATTTACAGTAGAAGGGGTAGAGAGAAAAGGGGAGGGGAGGGGAGGGGAGGGGGGATAGTAGAAAATAGGACTGACAGCAGAATACATCAGACACTAGAAAGGCAATATGTGAATCAATGGAAGGGTAACTGATGTGATACAGCAATCTGTATACGGGGTAAAGTTGGGAGTTCATAACCCGCTTGAATCAAACTGTGAAATATGATGTATTAAGAACTGTGTAAGGTTTTGAACGACCAACAATAAAAAAAAAAAAAAAAAAAAAAAAAAAAAAAAAAAGAATGAAAACTTTTGAGTTGTGGTTTTATGATACATACATGGTTTGTAAAAGAAATGCAAAATTATAAATTAAAAAAAATAGAATTAATTTGAATGTTCTAAGATCTCATCCTAGAATTATCTGATAATATGAATAACAGCATGGTTTATTTCCTCCTTTTGTGTTTTTTTTTAACATTATACTTTTTTGAAGTTCATTTACTTTCAAATTAAGAATTAAGTGTTAGTGATGATCCAGGAATATGTTGTATAACCTGATCTTATTAGTTGGTTTTCTATTTAATAATTTCAATGTGGTTTTGTACCACTATATTGATTGGATTTTTTGCATTATTGTTTTTAAATTTAAAATGCTTTCTACATTATGGCATTTGAATTGAGCAAGGCATCAGGATGAAGGAAACAAGGCTCTTGAAAGTTGAGAAATAAAATTGCAGAATCAGTAGAAGTAACTGTATATTAATTTAAATGTGTCTTTACAAGGACTACAACTCCAGGAGAAACAAAGCTTCTGGCCTCTGAAATCTATGACATTCTTCAGTCCTCCAATATGGCAGATGGTGATAGTTTTAATGAAGTGAATTCACGTCGAAGGAAAGCGCAGTTTTTTCTGGGGACTACAAACAAACGTGCCAAAACAGTGGTTTTGCACATAGATGGTCTTGATGATACGGTAAGTGTTTTTTCAACATGTGGTTCATAAAAGAGGAAGAAGAAATCATGTTAACTAAAACTGTTTCATGTTATTTGTTAATAGTCGTAAGAGGAAGTCTCAATATCAGTATTTTATGTCTGTGAAAAGGGATATTATGTGCTAGAAGACATAATGGCTTTTATGCACCTAGTAATAGATCATCAAAATATATGAAGCAAAAACTGAAAGATATGCAAGGAGAAACAGACAAAATTCGTAGTTAGAGCTAGAGATTTCGATGACACTTTCTCAATTAGTAGAATAAGACTACAGTAAAACCAGTGATGCTACAGAAGACTCAAAAAATATTACTATTGATCACCTTAACCTAATATTTACTATTATTTTACCATACCCAGCTATAGAATATATTCATTCTTTTGTGTGCCCAGGAAACACTTACTAAGAGATTATATTTTGGTTTATAAGACGAGTCTATGTCCTCTTAACACAAAGAAAGCAAATTAGAAATTAGTAACATAAAGGTATTTAGAAAATCCCTCCAAAATTTGAGAAACCGACACATTTCTAAAATAAACTATGGGTCAATGAATAAATTAATAAAAACTAGAAAACATTTTAAATTTCATAGAAATGAAAGTATAATATCAAAATTTGTTGAAAGCAGCCAAAATAGTGTCTAGAATAGAAATTCATTAGCACATGCCTAAATATTTATATACAAAAGATAAAAGACGTCAGGTTGTTGACTTAGGCTTCTACCTTAAGAAAATAAAACGTGAAGAACAAATTAAAGCTAAAGAAAATGGAAAGTGAAGAACAAATTAAAGCCAAAGTAAATAGAAGAGAAGAAATAGTAGAAATTAGTAAATGAAAACAATAGAGAAAAATCAGTGAAATCAAATTTGTTGACTTGATCAATAAAATTGATAAACCCGTAGCCAAACTGATTAAGAAAAAAGAGAAGTCACAAATTATCAATATCAGAAATAAAAGAGGACACAAACATACATCCTGTAGACATTGAAAGCATAATATGTAAATACTTAAATGACTTGACACTGATTAATCTCATTCAAGAGGGCATAGATAACTTAATTAGCTCTATATCTATTAAGTTGAATTTGTAGTTAAAAACCTTCCCTTAAAGAAAACTTCAGGCCTAGATGCCTCATTGGTAACATTTAAGGTAGAAATAATATTAATTATACAAATTCTTCTGCAGTATTATAGAAATACAATTGTAGTTCTCTATAACATGTGGATCCTTCTGAACTCATTCTACTTTGTCTGCTTTTAGTATTAGTTTTTTGGGTTTGCTCTCAACAAGTTGGGCGTATTTCAAGTGAATTTCTCCCAGGTATCATGTATTTAGGTCTTGCTTTTTTATCCAGTCTAAACTTTTCTGCCTTTTTAATAGAACTTTTTGAACAGTTGATTTTTTTCTTTTTTTTTTTTTTTTTTAATGCTGATTCCTTTCTATTTGTCCTGCTGGTTCTTTGTTTTCTTTTTTCCTCTGCCTTCTTTTGAACTAGGTGGATTACTTTTGAGATTCTATTTTATGCCTTTATTAACTAATTAGCAATAGTTCTTTCTTTTACTCATTCATTCCTCGGTTTATGATTTATTTTCTAATCTTTGACTTACAGTCTAGCTTCAACTAATATTGTATAATTTCATGTATAGTATAAGATACTTTTACAGTATACTTACACTTTTTTCATATCTTTTACTTCTGCTTGTCATATGAATCCGACAATATATTGTTAATACTTCTTTAAATTAGAAATAGTCATCCTGTACTAACTTTTGTACTAGAAAGGAACACCTAGTGTTAGGCATCATTTTGGGTACCAGGGAGATAGCAATAACCAAAATTGGTGTAATTTCATTAGGGGAGACAGACAGTTAAAAATGAGATGACTTTATGAATCTTGTTTCTCTCTGTCTCATGTGGTTGGAATTTGGTTTTAGAATATGTATAATAGGAAGGATACTTTTCTGTTTTTCACTTTCCTCACATTTAAAATAAAGAATTATATTTATAAAATCTTAAATCTCATGATATATGTCCTGTGCATAGTTTTTTAAGTTTACCTGGTATTAAATCCATGAAAGAGAGAAACATGCCCTGTTCTGTACCACACCCCTAAAAGGGCTTCACAGAAGTCAGATCTTGGCAGAATAGATTCAATAGACTGTGCACCAGGTGAGCCCACTGTGGGCCTGCACTCTGCCACAGACTTGTAACCCAGATGTCTCCCTGAGTAGTGTTAAAATGCTGAAGAAAGGAATAAGCAGTAACCATGAGTTGTTTAAAAGGAGGTAGAAAAGAGTTTGAAAACTGGGTGTGGTCTAGATCTTGGTCAAGTGCAGACTCATGCCCTTTGAAATTTTGGGTCAGAATTTGGGCTCACTGCAGATACAGGAGAATTTTTAAGGTAGTGATTTTGTGTGTGGACTGGAGATATAATTCAGCTACTTTTTAATTCATTTCTACTTTGGATCATCGTTTGAGGTGATGACTTGATATCCAAGTAGATATGTCTGATAGAAAAATAAAAATTAAAAAGTCCTATTGGAGTTAGTGATGGTGAAGTGATAAGAATAGACAGTTAAAAATTTTGAGGATCAAAAGACAAAATAAGTTACTTAATTATAGGCACTAGACCTTGGAAGTAAGATGAGACAGAGTTGGAATAATCAGTGGCATAAGTGCAAGATCTTGCTTGAAAGCTGTGGTATATTATGCTATGTATACCATTGGAGGGAAATGAGAACTACAAAGGTAATATAAGTATAAATATAAATATTTAGTTGTAGATGGACACAATATCTTTATTTATTTATTTTTCTGTGGTGCTGAGGATCACATGTAAGACAAGTGCTCTATCACTGAGCCACAACCCCAGCTCCACCACAAAGGTTTTTGATGGTCATTGAGACCAAAACAGTAGCCATAGAGAATGCCATAATTGTAAGATATAGTAATATTTACAAATAACCACGGAACAATGTTTAAGTAATAGTGACTCAAATGCCCAGTGCCTGCTAATTCTAACTTCAGTCTTAAAATTTATCCTGGAGATTTTTAAGCTAGAGCAGAGACTAGTAAGTTTTTGTTGTTGTTGTTGGCTTTTTTTTTTTTTTTTTTTTTTTAATAGGACCAGAGAATAAATACCTTTGGCCTCTGATTCTCTGCTTTAGGGCACATTTTCACATATTATTCATTTGCTTTTTTGACTTAAGATGCAAATTAAATTGGCTACCTTCTTTTTTAAAAATATTAATTTTTTAATAGTTGTACACAATAACTTTTTATTTATTTTTATGTGGTGCTGAGGATCGAACCCAGGGCCTTGCACATGCGAGGCAAGCACTCTACCGCTGAGCCATAACCCCAGCCCCAAGGCTACCTTCTTTTTGATAAAAATTATTAAAACTATATATTAATATTGAATATTTAAAAATCTAGCAGAAATTATTATTCTGTTCATCTTATAAAATTTAATTAACTTGACTTAGCACCCCACTCTCTGCCCTGAAGTGTGAAACAGTAGAAGTAAAATAGATATATTTTCTTCCCTTCCTTTCAAAACATACTCATGTACTACATGATCATGTTCAGTCAACAGTGAACAACATATTGAATCATGGTCCCATGAGATTTAATGGAGCTGAAAAATTCCTATCACCTAATATTTTTACTTTATTTTTTCTATGTTAGATACATTTAGATACAGGAGTACTTATTGTGTACAGTTGCCTACAATACTCAGTCCAGTAAGGAGTATAGGCTATACATAGCCTGGGTCTGTAGTAGGCTGTGCATCTAATTGTTTAAATATGCTCTAAGATGTTCATATAACAAAATCTCCTAACAATGATTTTTTTAGAACATATCCTTTTGTTAAGTGACATATGACTCTAATGACTACTTTAGTGTTGCTTAAGTTGATTTATTCCCTTTTAATATTTTACCTGTTTTAACAACAGTTTGCTTTTATTTTTTCAGTCTCGAAGAAATCTATGTGAAGAGGCTTTGTTAAAAATTAAAGGCGTTATTAGCTTCACTTTTCAAATGGCTGTTCAAAGATGTGTGGTACGAATTCGTTCAGATTTGAAAGCAGAGGTTAGTATTTTCAGTAACTAAATATGCTTGAGGTTATAGATAAACAAATCAGTGTTCAAAATTGTTCCTTTTTGTCCTGACCCAGGCTTTGGCATCAGCAATAGCATCAACCAAGGTTATGAAAGCTCAGCAAGTTGTGAAAAGTGAAAGTGGGGAAGAGGTAACAGTTTTATTTTTATACCTGACTCAGACTCTCAATTATTTTTGATGACTACTGTATTCCTAGATAAATAGTTAACAAATATAAGAATATGGTGTTTCTTGGTTAATAATTTTTTTTAGAAATACAGAGAGATCTTTTGTATATTTTATAGTCTGTACTTATAAAGAAAGCTTTTTTAAAAAAAAATCTCAGTGCAGATATCTTGTTGATTTTATATGGAAGATACATGGTTTTCATGTATTGATTATTAAAAATACTTTCTTCCTAACCTTCACTGGTCTTGCCAATGCTGAAAATAAAAGTGCAGTCATTGGGCTAGTGTGTGATGAAAATTCTTGTCCATTGCTACCCCTTCTAATAATTTTTGTGATAAAGAAAATGAACCTCTAATGCCTTGAGCTCATTTGGATTCAGTGAGTCTCTAGGAATCCAGAGTAGCCAGATACTTGCTTTAGTTGTCTTTATATAGACAAAGGTTGCTTATTTATTCCTACGGCCTCAGCAGATAAACATCTGAATTCTTATTTGTAGTTATTCCTTTCTGCGTTGATGCAGTGGTCAGCATTTGAGCCTTCTATCATGTAAGAGGAAATTTTAGAAGAAATAGAGCCTTGGAGAATAAATATGGTACTTAGAATGAGGAATAAAGTTGACCTTTAACTTAGGACATGTATATGTATATGAATTTGATTTTGTAATTAGCTCTTAACACATTCTCTGTCAGATGCTGGTCCCATTCCAAGATACTCCTGTGGAAGTAGAAGAGAACACAGAATTGCCTGACTACTTGCCTGAGGATGAGAGTCCCACTAAAGAGCAGGACAAAGCAGTTTCCCGGGTGGGCTCACACCCAGAGGGTGGAGCTAGCTGGTTGAGCACAGCTGCAAACTTTTTATCCAGATCATTTTATTGGTGACTTCAACTTCAATTTGGGGCTCAAGGACTGTGCAAACCAACAAGGGGCCAGTTTTCCATTGTTGTGGTGAACTGTCAAGTGCAATTTGCAATAAGTTATCATGAAAAGTTTTTAGATTACATGATTGTGTATGCTGCATTTTACATTTTATTGGACATTTTACCCTACTGAGTGGTAAAAAGGACAGAGGCTACAGTTGAAATTTGTTTATGAAGGTATTTTGGTTTTGCTTTTCTTTGTTTAATTGCCTCACTTTTTTAAAAAAAAAAAAACAACAAAATGGGTCCACTGTTAAAACCAAACGTGTATGTATGTGCAGCTTTACATTTTATTTTACATGAAGCATGTGATTAGGAAAACTTGTTTTCTCCTCAAGCCTCAGGATCTATCAGAAGAGAAGTTTTTTCATAGCTCAAGTTGTGCATGAATTACTGAACATTTTTCTCTACTTTTCTTCATGAAAGATACATGCTTTGGTACTCTTCACTGAAAGTTGAAAATATTTCTTCTTATCCCCTTTTGTGCCTTTTTATTTTGCCAACCATGTTTTTAGAAACGATATTACTAATGACATTTTACAAATTGAAATATTTTAATTTGAATATAGTAGGTCCCTAAAAATACAATTCTACAAAAACTTTGCAATTTTATTTGTTATAATTTTAATAAAATTAACATGGAATCAGTTAAGAAGGAAACATATATAGTAGCAAAGTGCTTTTGGAACTGTTTGAATGTGACCAAATGTGGTTCTAGTTGACTAGTGTTCACTTTGGCTTATATCAGCTCTTCAGATAAATCCACCATGAGACTGCAAGAAACTGTAAATGGTCTCTCAACCTTACTTTCTGATTACACATTATCTCCTGCTAGGGGAAAAAATAATAATAGTGAAGAACTGACAAACTTGAAAAAAGAAAACAAAAATTGAATGCCTATAATGCCGTAGTGCCACTTTGGTAGAGTCTTAACTTTAAAACATGAATTGCCTGGCAGAAACCTGTTCAGTAGGTATTTCTTTGTATTGCCTTTGTGAGTTTATTATGAAAATGCTGCAGTCACATTGAATGAAAAAGACCCAAATTATTGTTTATAAAAAAATAAAGCCAGCATTGGCACTTAATCTTGTTTCTCATGTCCAGCCAGAAAAAAACTTCAGTGAAGGTAAGATAAGTAAATATATATACATACATATGGTGGCTTTTTAATTTGTTTTGTTTTGTTTTGGTAAGTAATAGCTAATTACATGTATGTGATGCTTTATTAAAGCTCTAAAATATTTGTCAACTAAGATTTTCTTTTTGGAAATCCATCGATATTCAGATATGTTTAAATGTTAACATGATTAAAAACTAATACAAAGAAATGGAAATTCATTTTCATCACCATGTAGAGCTGCTATTTTACTACTTGGAGAATGTGAAGCGACAATTCGACCCTGGAGGATTTCTTGGTGTTTTCAGCACTTGTCTTTTAGAGAAAATTAAAAGCATCCAGTATTACTGGAGAAAAATAATTGTAAAGTGTCATCGCCAGTGAGTTTTGAGTTCACTAGTATTGTGACCTTAGGGAAGGAGAGATATTGAGGGTATCAAGAACAATATTTTTTTCATGTTTCTGGTGTCTGATTAAAGTGATACGCACAAACAGAAGATATAAGCTTTCAGGGCACATTGCTTTAAATGCATACTACTACTTGCTGCCAGAACCAGATGTGTTGAAAAAGGAAACAAAAAACCACCTCCTTTCTGTAGCCATTAAAGCAAAGTTTACTTTCTGTTTTAACAAGTTTTTATTTTATTATTCATTGCCACACATCTGCTTATTTAAAAAACTACAACCCTTTGGTATTAATGGTTCAGTACAAGTAGATATTTCAGCTTAATGTTTGTGTGTTCTAATTATAAGTGTTCTTTAATTCCAGGTCTTATAGAGCAGTTAAGGCAACTGTAATGGCATTTTTGAAGTATATTGTAAAATAATAAAAGGTAACATAATTAAAACTGTATATTGCCTTCCTATGGTATATGCATTATTGATTACTCTTTGTGTGGTGCTGGTGACAGACCCCAGGAACTCATGAGTGCTGCATAGGGGCTCTATTACTGAGCTACCCCTACAGTTAATTTAATTTGTGATTTGTTTACTACTATTTAGCAGATTCCTTCATTTATTTTTTTATTTCGTTTTTATTAAAAAAAAAATGTGGGAAGGGGGCTTAATACTTGCTCCACTGAATGAAGTTAAGTTTAATGCATCCTAATTCTTACAGAATTGTTACGAGAGAATAAAAGTGTGTGTGTGTGTGTGTGTGTGTGTGTCTGTCTGTCTGTCTGTGTGTACGATCTTATACAGTAATTTCAGAACTTTTCTTCATTAGTAAAATGAAGATAATAATTCTACTACATTGGATCATTATTAGGATCCAGTAAGATCATGCTTTGAAAACTAAAAATTTTACCAGTGTACAATAGAAGTATTGCTAGTAGTTGTTTGACACAGTTTCTTCTTGTCCTTATTCCTTACACTTTCTAATCACACTTTGTCTGACTCAGCTTTCTACATCCATTTGCAGGTTTTGTTTTGTTTTGTTTATTTATTTTTTTTTTTTTTAAGCTTAGTCCTCTACTCTTTGATTTTTTTTTTTTTATCTAAAATTTCTCCCTTGAAGAATTCATCTGTTGACATGGTTTTAATTACCTTTGTGTAGATAACTTGTATATCTCTACTGTCACCTTTGACAGCTCTCTTTTATTTTGTTGTACCTATCAAGTGTAAAGTCTGAATTTTTATTCCTACTAAAACCAAGCTTATCGTAAGCATGCAATAAATTTAACAAAAGCTAATTTTGTACCAGGCACTACAGTAAATGGTTTCCACATATTTACTCATTCGGCCCTTAACCAAGGATAGGTAATTGTATTATTAAGTCATCATTTTACAGATGAGGAAAAATGAGACAGATATTAAGTGATTCATTAGTGCCAGGTCACAGAGCTAGTAAGTGGTGAAGCCAGGACTCACACCCAGGCAATGTGGTCCTAAGTCTCTACACTCTGAGAAGGCAGCCTGCACCGCAGGTCCTGCTATGCATCTTTTGTCCATCATTCTATGACGGACCCTTCTGACTTCATTGTATTAGGTGCTCTAACTCAGGCATCATTTAGCAATCAAAACTCAGTGTCTGGAGACCAGAAAAGTTAGGTACATGAAAGAAGTAAGGCAACAACATAGGAAACCATGAAGAGCACCTGTCCTGCCTAGAGAAGAGTCACATTTTTCTCGTGAATGTTTGGCTTTTAAGAATTAAAAACTTGGGGATTTTGTGTCTCTTCCAGATCCTTAAAATACCATGCAAGCCACATAAACCATGTCTGTGAACCAGAAATTGGCTACTCTTTATTTCTAGAATATCCCCATTCTAATCTATTTGATTGAAAGCATTTTTATCATTTTCTGCTCTACTGTCTACAAAGGCTGTGGCTTACAAGTTTAGACTGCTTTGAATCACATCAAAAATGCCCTGAGAATTCAGCTGCCAACCAATCTTTCACACATTTGATTAAGTGCACACTTAGTGTGTGTAAGGCACAATTATATATCATTGTTTCAAAACCAGTCTGCCCTACTTAGGCTTGCATATCATACCCTTAATATTCCTACCCTCTACATTTTTGCTGTTTTTTTTTTACCTATATTGTTACTATTTTTTTTAACCTATTATGTTACTATTTTCCCCTCTGCCTCTCCAGCTCTTTTTTACAAAGTTTGCCCTTTGCCATTCATTTTCTATTAAAAATGACATTTTCTTCTTTACACTCTTGTCTCCTTTAAAATATTTTCGTATGAAAATAACAAGCTCATTATACTATCATACATAAAAAAGCACAAGCCATCTGCCATCCCATATCATAGACAATATAGGTAACTTAGGTAACCGAACATTTTGATTCATTTCATCCTCATTTGTTTTAAATTTGTTTTTTTCTTTTATTTATTTTCTCTCACTTTTTTTTTAAACTGGTTCATTAGAGTTGTACATAATGATAGGATTTGTTGTTACATATTTTTAAATGCCCAGAGTATAATCTGGCCAACATCATTACCTAGAACTTCTCATGTTCCCCATTGAGGGGAGGGAGAAAGTATTTCTTAAATTCTTAGTGTTTTCCATATACATAACCTGGTCTTGTGTGTGCTGAGCATCTGGGAAGTGGTCACTGAATGAGTTATGGTTATAAAACATCTACAGTAGCATTTCTGTGCTGGGGGATGAGTATTTGGTATTCTGCTCCTGTCTGGACTTAATTATTGCCCATCTGAATTACTCTACCCAGCTTCTTAACATTTAGCATTACATGAGCACCTATGTTCCAGGTTCAGTACTAGGTCTTTTACTTGTACTGTCTTTAATTATTTTTTAATCAAAAATAGCTGGGCTTGGGCTGAGGTTGTGGCTCAGTGGTAGAGCACTTGCCTTGCACATGTGAGGCACTGAGTTCGATCCTCAGGACTGAACATAAAAATAAATAAAATTAAAATTAAAAAATAGCTGGGCTTTTGTTTTTTTAAAAAACCAGTTTTACGGAGGAAACTGAAACTTAGAAATAAGGTAACTGCACTTAAATATGATTAATAAATGCCAGGCAGGCATAGAATGAATTCAAAACTATATTTTTTGGGAGAAGAGATGAAATCCATGGCAAATCAGCTTTACTCATCAATGAATGAAAGTATGGGGTTAAAGCAAATGTAGATGAAAATCTTAAGATGAACTCTGAAAGAGGTGAGCCAGAAGCCAGGACATTAGTTTTACGAGATAAACTTTTAAATGAAATGAATCATTACCTCCCAAGGTGGAAGTTCGGAGAAAAAGTAGACTTTTTCAAAAGAAATTTGTATGTAAAAACTTTTATAAAATATCCTTTCTGTTTTACATGGTTACTCTCGCTTTTAGTTTTGACTTTATTATATTTAATATATTGAGTCTATAGGCAGTATAAGGTCTTTTTCAGAAATCCATGTGATATGTTGCAATTAAAATGGGACATACCTAGAAAGAACAAAGCCAAATGTTTATTCATTGAGATGAGTAGAGTAGTTTAATTAAATTCAATAGAAAACTAATTTAGGGACAAGAAACAATATGTAAACATAATATGGGGGCTGGGGTTTTGGCTCAATGGTAGAGTACTTGCTTAGTATGCGTGGGTTGGATCCTCAGCACCACGTAAAAATTAAATAAAGATATTGTGTGTCCACCTATAACTAAAAAATAAATATATTTTTAAAAGACATTCTGGATGAAGATATTTATAATGCTTGATAAAAGGATCAGGTGTCTTATTTAACTTTGTGGAAGTGGTAATAAAACTCTTGGAGATAACAATCTGGGAGTCTTCTTACCTGTGATTTTTTTTTTAAATCCTTTTTGATCCTAGGGGTGCTTAGCCACTGAGCCATATCCCCAGCCTTTTTATTTTTTATTTATTTTGAGGCAGAGTCTACTAAGTTGCTTAGGTCCTCCCTAAGTTGCTGAGGCTGGCTTTGAACTTGGGATCCTTCTTCCTCAGCCTCCCGAGTCATCGTTACCCTGTGATTTGATCATAAATAGTAAATAATATGTTGATAAAAATCAATAAATATATTCTAAATTAAGATCCTCAACTTTGAGCTACTAATTATACTTCAGTACAGAAAAGCAAAGCCAACAATTACCAATTCACGCTGAAGGAGTTGCAGGCTTCTATTTGAGTATAGCATTGAAAGGTATGTTTTACTCATGTTGTTAAAGTGATTTAGCAAATATTTGAAAGTCTGTATTGTCCCAGTTACAATGAACTGATAGGATTACCAACATGACCCTTCCTGGGCTTCACAACCTAGTGGGAAAGGTCATAGACTGGCTAATCACAAATGTACCAGAAAGTTACAGAGTAGATTTGAGAGACCTTATGTTGGTGGAGTTGGAGGGTGGGGAATTTGGGATTGCTTCCTGGACAAATTAAAGCCAGAACTTGAAGGATGAGCAGGAGTTACTTTGCCATGTGGAACAGGGAGAGCATTCCAGGCAAAGGAACCAGTTTTGTGAAGGCTCATGAGTAAGACTGGTAAGTTAGGGCTAAGATGAGATAGGAATACTGGTGGAGACTAGGTTAGACAAACTTTGTAGGTCCTTTGTAGTACTTGAGTATTATAGTATTTCCTCTCCTAATGTTAGTAGTAAATTAATATTAAGTATTTTAGTTAATAAAACTAAGTTAACTGTCATGTATTATGAATTGTAGTTGCTAAGTGCTTTGTCTAGTATTTGGTCTTCACAACAATCCTATAGATTTGTTAAAAAAAAAAAAGGTAAACTTCACAAACAACAACAACAACAACAACAAGACTTATGGAGGAAAATACATAAATAAAATAAGCCCATTGAAAAAAAAAAAAAAAAACCTAAACCTGCTTGAGATGACTAAGGGGAGAAAGGTGGATCTAAGGCTACCAAATTATAAATACATGCAGTACAGGGGCAATGCTGGACTGGACTTAGATAAATTAACAGTAAACATGGAAGGAGGTGATATGTTTGGGAGATGTTTTTTTCAAAGGCAATTGCACAGAAGAATTCGATGATATGACAGGAGATTCCAGGATTCTGAATTGGTAGCTGCACTGATGATCCTTTTGCACTATCTTTTTTGAGCTAGGAGACAACAGGAAGAATAAGACTGTAGGCAAGGTTGACGATAGAGGTGACCCAGGTACATGTGACTTAAGATGGAGGAGACAATGAAATAATTAAATGGTAATGGCTTGGATCCAGGAGGGAGATAAGATATAAAAAAAGATTATATTTTATTAATATAGATTCAAACGAAGAATTCAGAGTAGGAGTGGAAGGACCAGCTGGCTTTGGTAAATGAGCTCCTCTGGGTCTCTCCCTAAAGCTGAAGGATTTGCTGGGTTGACCCTTCATGAAATTTCTTGTGTTTTTATTTTTATTATTAAATTTCTTCTATCACTAT